TTTTCGTGAAAATTCTATTGTATAAATAAATTTTCAAAGATACGAATTTTGCATTTGTCTAATTGCGAGTCTCTCGACTATCTTTTTTTTTTTCTCGATATTCCAAAACGATAGCGAAACGTGTCTCACGATCAATTTTACCTAAACTTTCAACCAAATGAATTTTCACAACAAAAATTGCCAAAATTTTTTCGAACACTATTCGAGTTGTAGCAATTGAAATAAAAGAACGAGGGGGGGAATAGCGAAAGAGAGACGACGGAAAATTTAATTGAAACACAAATCACCGACTGAACTATTATTCCAAGCAAGAGAGCATACACGTGATTCGTAACACGTGATTCGTAATACGTGATTCGTTAAATCATTAAAATTTGTAAAGTTATGCGAAAACGATACGTACGTACGTATTTGCAGACGTGCTGCCCGAGTTAAATAAATCCAATTAAACGGCTAACCGTGTCGAAACCTTTTATTCGGAGTAATCGAAATAATTAGGGGAACTTTTGCGAAACAAAACACACGTGCATACATACAGCAGCTCGCCAAGTATTGAATATCCTCGAATATTGATTCATTGTTAACAGAAACATATCGAATAATTATTATTTCGTCAGAGACCTATTGCAAAGATTCGTATTGTCGGACGCGTCGATAATGACAGCCGATAACGATGACGACATTATTGCAAACAATACCACCACTCCCCCCCCCCCCTCCCCCGAATCGACGAAAAAGAGAAAATTAAAAGAGATAATTATTCACGGACTAATTACGAGGACGAGAGCGAGTCAACAATCACCACCATCGGATCGCGAAATGTTTGACGAGCTGCTGAAAATTGTGCTGATTGTCGCACTTGCTCGAATACGGGTAGGGAAATATTTGGAACGCTTTAAAAGAGCGTTTCAATTTATAAGTTCAGCGACAAACGTGCAAACGAAATTCGGATAGGTAAATAACGATACGAGGATAACAAACTGATACGTATAGTAAGAAGAGATAGTGCGATGAATCGACGATGGAACAATATAAAACACGGAAATAAAGTAGTTTATTAAATGCAGTTTGAAACTGTCTGAAAATATGAAAATATTTGATATTTAACGATTTTAAGAAATATAAAATTTCCATGATAAAATATATTAACGAACAAAGTAAAGGAAACATCAAGGAAACAAAATACTTGATGAATAATTAAAAAAAAAGGAGCATAAAACTTTTCCAACGCATTATCAATAAATTTTCGACAGAGTAACAGAAATTCAGCTTAATAAACAATTTTAAAAAGAGTATAAGAATTTTTAACACGTCGTCAGAGAATTAACGATAAACGAAACAAGTTTGAAAAGAATACTTTCGCCAGTCAAACGTATTATAAAATATTTATTTACATTGAATAATCTTTTCCCAGCGAATATCGCGTATTTAATGGTAAAAAAAAAAAAAAAAAAATAGGAAGAAAAATCACTCGATTTTCCCTGAGAGACACTCTCGATCGAAATTATTCAACGCGACGGCTCCCGCTTCCGTCATTTTCCTATACAATTTCCATGGAGATCGACCTAATATCCGAAGACGACGATAACAAGAAGCCGAGGTAACCGCGTGAAACTCATAGCTTCCGAATTTTCGCGGGAGGAATCGGGCGTAACGAGCCTTAAAACACGATTATCCAATCGCTCCGCGAGCGAACGGAGCTGGCTGCAAGGATTTTTCCTAGCTGGAGGAGATATCGAGCCGATTTTCGGTTAGATCCCGGGTAAAATTCTTGCACCCAGGTTATCTGTCGTCGTGTACTATCGGCGATATCCACGGATCTAGACGCGAGTCAGCGATGCGTGCCAAAACTGCCGTAAAATAAACTGCTTCTTCTCGCTATTTCGCGGTGTTTCACGTGACGATAAAATATTCTCCGGGGCACAGTTTCCCGCGGAATTTCATTCGTCGTTTGGGAACTGCTGCCCCTATTACGGCCACGTAATATACCAAAGGGAGCCGTTGTCGAGGGCGTCTAACAGGACGGGTGGGAGCCGAGTTTCAAGAAGGTCATTCGAGCCTCCGAGGAATTCATATTAGAACGGCCACGCGTGTACGAACGCGTGGTTCAACAGCTTGACAAGATGATTGCCGTACAATTTGCGACATTTCAACGTGGAGGGCTATGCTCGCGATTGAGCAGTCTCACCGCTCGGATTCGATCGTTCCGCGAACGCGAACGCGAACGCTCACGCGATCCGAGACTTTTCAGCCAAGATTCTACGAGAATCTTCCTTTTCACCGCCAGGAGAGGTGATCTACGCGTAATTCGCGACAATTCGTGCAATTTTCGTGCACGATGACTGTTTAATCTTTTAATAGAGAGCGATGAGCTGAACCGTATCGTTGATTGAGAGCGCTATTTTTTTTCTGATTGTGAGTAGGTTGTAGATTTTACTGTACGTGTATATTCTTGATCGTAGATTTTCTATACGTGTATCTGTACGTTGTAGAATTTCTTTGACGCGTATCGTCGAATGTAGATTTCATAAATGTGCAAGGAAAAAAATGTAGATAGTATTGCATCAAGTTTGTTTAGGGAAAGTAAGTAAAAGAATTTTTCGGAAAGAATGAGCTACCACTTTCAGTCCAGATTTTCGACTGAAAAATTGGCCACGAATACTAGTCATTAAACTAGTAACTAACATTAAAAAGAATGAGCAGTCTTCTTTGTTTTTCAAGATGTTAAATATCTGTCGAACAGAACTTTAAGAAATTTTAAAGAAATCTCTACTGAATTCACAAAATCTATCCCTGCTGAAACGGAGAACCAAAATAATCGACTCAACAAATTTCCTGTTGTCATACGTTAAGTCTCAAGTGTTAAGTACTAAATCTTTCGATACACCGTGAACGTTATACCTGTAAGAGGAATTAATTCTTCGGGGATGAGTTTGCCAATTTACAGAATGTTTGAACAGTAACGAAACTGGCAAGAAACTATATCTGCGTAAATGTAAAAATGACACATACCGAAAGAATGTTTTAACAATAATAAACGTCATAAGTCGTCGGCGTAAAACCAGTTTCGAGGTGAATGACGAAATTCGTTCGCTCAAATTCGATTTTTCGCAGCAAACGTAAACGCCGTTGACAAGCAAAGGAGAGAAAAATAAAAAAAAAAAACATTACACGGTTAGAACGGTATAAACGCTCCGACCTCGCTGAATATTCTTTTTGAAACGCACTCTCTTTACCCGGAATGTGTCGCTTCGTTACTCGTCAGAAAACCGTTCCGCCATACCCAAGGATTTATTTTTGTTACAACAATGCCGGGAAACGACTGACTTTGAACAATGCACAAATGTATAAAACAAACAGGGAAAATATCTGAATAATGGAAAAGAAATTCGAAAAAAGAAAATAATTTTATCGTCAATTGCGCGTATTTTTGCGGTCTATTTATTGTTTGCCGCTACTACTATACAAGAATTTTTCTTTTTATTCGGTACAGTAAAATTGAGGAATTTTTTTTATTTCAAGAAAAGCATTCTTCTTGTATAAAATTAGGATGTGAATCTTGTCCAGCTGAGTCTGTATTATATATCTATGTATTTGATAATACGAGATGCTTAAAATAATCAATTTAATTATTGAAAATTCAAAGAGGATAACATATATGTTTAAAGAAGAATGTATTTCTAATTTATTACACGCTCGTCATGCGAATTAATCAAATGGTTAACATAACTCTCGAAATTCTTACAATAATACTAAACTGACTGCTAAACATTGAACGTACATCGCTTAATTTTGAAATTCTTAATTTGATTTAGTTTCATGATTAATTTCTACCGAAGGAAATATAATATAAAATACAAAATAAAATAAAATAAAATAAAACATCTTAAACTTTTATATAATATAACATCTACAAATTACTATAATTCTCTGTAACCCCACGATATCATGAAAAATTCGCGCAAAAATTGATTATCTCATGGTATTCCGTTATTTGCTTTTTCCGTTATTTACTTTCAACAGACGACAGAAATTCAAGATAGACAATTTCAAAGACAGAACTCACTTGGCCCTTGAAAAGGGAGCCTTGTTTGACACCATAAACGCGCCGTTCCCACCTCGAGGAACAAATGAATGAAACACGGAACGCGATATTGTTACACAATTAAACGTCAGTCTTGTTCATCACGTTAATTGATAAACTCGTAGTTGGTCTTGTGATTTCTATTCTGTACGTGTGCATTTCGTCCGTTTTGTTGGTTCGTATAGTTGAAAAAAGTTATCTTACGTGGAAAGTAAATTTGTTACTTTAGAGCTGGAAATTTATTAATTATTAAACTAATTTCGATCGATTTATCTAATACATAGTTTGTATGCTAATAGTGTCGTTGCATGCCAATTCAAAACGGAAATAAAATGAAATTTGAAAAATCTTGTGGCTATTTGTTTACTTTTTATCGCAGAAATATAAATAAGAGAAAGAGAGTGAAGTAAACGAACATTTATTAAAATATATGATACAGAGCAGAATTTTTTCTTACACCCAAAAATATCTGTTTTCCATTTCTGCAAGAAGCACCGTCTTAAACAAACATTTATCTCGAAAGAAACATTCCAAAGCAACAGTCTCAAATATCACTGTCAACTTAACGTTTGAACAAAATCCTCAATTCAAAAAACCCACCAACAATCTAGCACTCGTGCAAACACCACTTTATCGGACAAATATGATCAAACAAATTCTTACACAACTCCTATCTTTTTTCCTATCAAAAATTTCAATATACTTATATTTCTGTATCCTTGTAATCAAGATGCTTTTAATCTCACAAATCTCACGTCGTTTTCATAAATCATAAACAAACGCAATGTATCCACCGTAAAGAGAAAACATTTGACCGAACAATCACTGCCTGTGTTACTGAGAAGGATGGCATAATCTTTTAATGACAACCCGGGAAAAATGGAATTTTTGTCGAATTGAATCCGAATTTACTCACCGTATGGAAGAACAAATCCATATATGAACGTTATGGAACAAAGAAGCCACAGAAAATTCGCACTTTTCTCGGTACACATGGCGCGATGTACACTGTTATCGGCTGTTTTTAAACACCCGTGGCGTATCGCGCGGCCACTCGCGTGGCTCTGAGAGTTCCTCGTTAGATTTCGAGTTTGAATCTCGGTCTTTCTCTGTCTTTCGCTCTTCATCCCGCACGCAGCCTCAGAAAACGGTCCAGCGCCTGCCCGCTGACAATATTCCGGATAAACCGATCCGAACAGAGGACACCACTTTCTAAACGTGTTCTTTCATACCCACAGGGAAAATAGAAACTAATAGCTGTTCTTTTAGAAAATTATTTGACAGCATCAACTCTTAATAAATATGTGTCTAGTAACATGTTGCGATAAAGAAAAGGATGTTTTCGAATTTAAAATGATTTGAAAAATTTCTTCTATACCGACGACTGATAACGTAGATGCATAGACAAGGTACGTGAATAGACCTTGCATCTCATGGGACTTCGTATTCCATGCTTTAAAATACCAACATATTAAAAAATCAGTGCGAATTTTCGATTCTTGAAGATCCCGGAATCTGTGACGTAACGATTCTAAGATTGAAATCACGGAGTCTGAGGTCTAAAATATATGATTTAGACGTTCTGAAGAAATTTCGTGATTAGGATTTTACAACCTGATGTCTGGGAAGTTGTGGTTGGTACCTATTTAGAATTTAGACATTTTAAGTTTGAAGATTTTGAAATTTTTTGAGTCTGAGTTTGAGAATTTTTAAGATCTAAAACAAATAGCGAAATAATGAAATTAATGAATAAAAATTGGATTTTTTTTTTTGAGATTTCGATTATACATAAATACAGTTTGTGAATTGAATAATATTTTTGAAATAGAATATTATCACATATTTCGAATGAAATATTACTAGGCCTGTCTCATGAGATCTCATTTTTATTCGAATATCTCTAGGGGAAAAGAATATATAAAATAACACTTATATATATAGCAATGCAAACGAATGATAATAGGTTTTTTTGAAAATATGAGTCTAAGTTAACAGAAACTACCATTACATTGCGGATTGGATATTTTATAACATTTACCCGACATTATTACCACTGCACGTTACATTCCATAAAAATGATTATTGCTATCGTATCATCACCAGTCGTAGTATTCCGTATATCATCTAAAATGCATAAAATTATTTGCATATGTATATACAAATGTATAACGTGACGCATCGCAGCATCGTGAACGTTGGTATCAGTACCGATAGTCTATTATCGTCTGTCGTCTAATACGAATCACATCGACCGAAGTCGATACTCGCTATCGATCAGCAAAAATTCGGTTAACCAAAGCCGTCCCGTGGACGGTGACAACCCGAAAGAAAAAGAAAACACTCTCTCGGCGTAAAGAGACGTCCACGGCCAGCGTTGAAACGTCAACCTCCTCGTTCGTGGACGCCTAGCTTTGGCGTACAACTATACAAGCCTTTGAGTATCGATCCTCCGGCAGCTCGGTACTCTCGACAGCGGCCACGACCACGCAAGCTCGACTCGGAACGGAGGACCCGTCGCGATAGAGGGGCGATTTGTCCTCCCTTTCGTTGCCGCTGCGAGCCTTCTCTTCCCTCTCGCCCTCTCGAGCTTTCTTCGTCCTTCGCCCCTCGATACTCTCGCAGTTCCCCTCGCCCTCTGTGTGTTTCTTTCTCTCCCTCTTTCTCTCACATCCTTGCGGAAAGGAGGACGGAAAGATGAGCGATCAAGAGGACCTCGACTACTACATCATGTTCCCGTCGTTTCCGCCGTCCCCGAAGGATCCAACGTTAACCACCGGCAGTCAGGACCAACGCGAGGAGTTCGTGTTCGTTTACAAAGAGGACAAACGACCGGTGATAGTATTGCTAGGATGGGCCGGCTGTCAAGACAAATATCTGGCCAAGTACAGCGCGATTTACGAAGAGAAGAGGTAACGATATCTCGCCAGAACTTCGTCCGCTTCAACTTTCGTTTCGCTTTTCGTTTCGTTAATACGTTCATTCCTTGCTTTTTCTTTCCATTGTTTGACACGACTGAAAGCTGAGGATATAATTGTAAACAATACGTTTTTACGCGACGACGATATTCTTCAATGACGAGTGCGTGACAATAACGATTTGATTAAGTAAGGGTTGAAGGAGGATGGATATACACATGTGTGCGCACGTATGTATATGTTTTGCGAGAACATTTGAGGGAAAATGTGAAATTGAGTGACACGTAGTTAGGATGAAGTTGTTAAATTGATGTGGTGGAAAATGCCGGCAAATCGTGCAACCATAGTGTTTATCTAATCGATAACAATTGGAGCTATTCGAATTTTTATTCCACATTATATCGTACTGTTATAGTACACCGCTATCAATTGATTTAATGCTTTATTGCAAATGCATTATTGCTAGTAATGTTAATAGAAAATACGTTCTAATCATTCTTCATATTGTCTTTCTACAAGATACTTCTATATAACAGAAACTTCAAATCATTTAACACACACCGATAAACAATGTTCATTTCTTTTTTTTTTCAAGCTGCATCACGTTACGATACACGGCACCGGTAGAATGTCTATTTTGGCGAAGAGACAAGATGCCTTACATTGGCAAACGATTGATCCAGGTGATCACAGACAAGAGTTTAGATCAACACCCGATATTCTTCCACGTCTTTAGTAACGGTGGCGCGTTTCTCTATCAACATGTAAGCCTTGCCATGCAACAAGCTAACTCGCCGCTTAAGGTAAAAAATACTATTCACCCTTCACCTTTCAAACGTCTCCCCCCTACCCTATTGTTGCACGTGATTTCATGCATTAACATATGTTGAAATTGTAGGTCAAAGGAGTGATATTTGATAGCGCACCAGGAGAAAGAAGATTAACTACTCTTTTCAAGGCAATCAGTGCAATCATCGGAGGACATCCGCTTACGAACATACCGATGTCCTTCTTCATTACGATCTTCCTCTCGATACTCTGGTTTTTAGAGGTATTAACAAAGATATTATTATACCGGGGATCTTTACCTCATAAATGAAAATATACGAGATATTGAATGGATGAAATAATTTTCTTCGTTGGTTTCACAAAAGTATGAAATATCTATAGTTATGTCAAATCCATTGCTATTTACTATTTAAATTTGAAGTGATTCCTTTATTCGTGAAATTTCAAATTAAAGACTTTCTATTAATTTACTGTTAAATAATCTCAAAAATAATATCGAGTTTCCTTGTCGTCAGAACGATCGAATTAATAAATAGAAATACCAGTCAACGACGGTGAAATAGTTAATAATACAAATTGAACGAAAGCTAAAACTGATCGATTATTTAGGTGATCGCTCACGCTCTTGGACGTGGTTATCCAGTGCAAACGAATCCGATCGGTCTTGCAGAGGAGTCCTATTCTTGGCCCCAATTGTTTCTTTACTCGAACGCTGATACTTTGATTCCGGCATCGGTACGTACATATATATCCTTGGGAGTAAAATTAGTTCCGAAAATCTACAATAAACTACGCGTAAATTTGTATAATAATCGTCGCCCGTGTTTTAAGGACGTCGAAAAATTCGCCAGCCGACGTGCAGAACGTGGCGTACGAGTGCAGCTGGTGCTTTTCACGAATTCCCCTCACGTCAAGCACTATGCTACTTATCGTGACGCCTACGTAAATACAGTTTGTAGTTTCATCCACGAATGCCTGACGTCGCCGATCTCGGAATGCCCGGAATTGTCTCAGAGTCACGACGTTGATGATAATTCCCAGAGTTACGTCACGATGCCGAGTCTTACCAAAAGAGTTGTGCTACCACACGAAGCTACTAAATTAAATTAGACAGAGAGAAAGGAAAGATGAATATCAATACTAGAACTAGCAACGTGGTCAACGAGGGAATGTGCAATTTTTCATGTACGATTGTACGCAAAGGAAAGTGGACAAACTGGAAGGCTAAGAGGATCAGCGTGTCGTTTATTTTTTATCTTCGAACTTGCACACTTGCAATCCACGATACGGGATTCTCTAGACAGCGTTGAGTTTCTCAATCGTTTCTCGGAAGTTTTGCCATCCGTGTTGACGTTACAACGTAACGGAAGTAATGTTAATTACTCGACGAGTACGTTTCGCATAAAATAAATTTTCACCCTAATAACTTTATCGTTTAGCTTGCAGTTTGCAATACGTTTCATCGACTATTGTGATTTTCATTCGTTGTTGAACAACTATTGCGAATTTAAAGATCCATTTACCAGGTGATTTGAAATTTCGTTCCAAGCAGTTTAATGTATGCTCGCGTAAAATTGAACGCTGATTCAAAGGTGAATTAATGTTTCCGTAGAAATTATCGAAAGTGAACCGAGAAGCTCGACCTCTCTTTCCTCCTTTTGTCCCCTTACTATTTCATTCCACTTCCGCTTTGGTATTTCCTTCGTATCTTCCAGTTTCTACCCTCGCTGTGTGTTCTTGAAACGTCAATGTGCCTGAACTTCACGAAATCGACACAGTTGCGTACCTTTCGAGAACAAATGAACGAAAGTACGAACGTTCGAGTAATTGTTCGATCGATTATATAAGTATGACGCGAGTACGATTCTGAATTTTCAAAGAGAGAAAGAATATATGGAGCAACGTTGCCACACGCCCCGAGGTTGCGCGTTTCGAATATTCCGTGGCCTCGTGTAGTGAGTTGAAATAAAAAAACTCTAGATGCACTTGACAGCGAACTTAAAGTAAAAAAAAATAAAAAATATTCGAAATTAGAAATCTAGATGCTTGTTGACGCGATCGAGGTGCGCACAAGGAGTGTACGTTGTTAATTGAAATCTCGAGAATGATCGTCGTTTCACTTTCGATGTTTCAATTTCGATGTAAGCAAGCTCGCACAAAAGGATCAAGCTGGTCTTGATTTGAGTTTTCAATTTAATTGCGATTGTAATTATCAATGAAACAGAGAAATTTTCTTGTCTCCCTCCCTGTCGAATAATGTTACGTCTTTAAACAGAATACACACACATACACATACACATATACATATATACACAAATATATACATATAAATATATTTTGATCTGTCGATTAGTTACAAATAAAGACTGATAAATCTATATGATTTGTTGCTTTCTTGCAGACATATAGTCCTAGTTATGTAAATGAGATAATGAATAATTCCTTTTTTCAGCTAGAAAATACGAGTATGGAATTTGGTTCCTCAGAATGGATACATTTAACATCAATGAATGACACATTTATGAAATGTTTATATGTACAAAATAGCATTATTTTTCATTCTTATAATTTTTTAAAACCGAGTTGTTGATAATAGTAATATACACGAGACATAGAATAAATTTATTACTCAGTGTATTTTTGTCATTCGCTTCGGAGACTCTAAAGCTCTCTTAGCATTTTAATGTAGCGATTAAAATTGAAATTTCAGTAAACTAAAGTACAGAATTCTGCATATATCTTCGACAATATGTACATGTGTATTCTTAAATATATTACTATGGAACAGTTATTCAAATTATTGTTTAAATTATAGAAAATGATAAAGTATAAATAAGACAAAAAGAACGTTACTTTTTACTGCTACTTTACCGATTATAATATATAATTACCTCAGAGAAAAAAAGAGGCAAATGCACAAAAACTTATGTCTTTTCCTCTTAACACGTACATATTATAATTGCATAGAATGTAAGCTTCGATGTTTGTAAAAAGTTATTTCAATAAAGAGTTATTTTAAAATACACACGTTTCTACGTTTTTCTTATTATCAAGTCCAACGCAACCAAATCTTGTTCTACAATCCTGAGATTAAAGACCAAAGCAAGTCATATGATTTTGTTTCTTTGGTATTGTCTTCCTGACGAAAGCATAGGTGCCAAAACCTACTGTATATATTGTACGTATTGTATGATTGTATGCATTGTATGCATTGTACGTATTGTATAATTGTGCGAGAGATGAACTTATTGTTAACGCGATCGTTGCTTAGGGGACAGAGTTCCATAGTTCAAGCTCATACTTGTGTTTTAGTGTTAAGATTAAGATTAAATTTTAGTTTGAGATTGAACCATGGAACGTCTGTCTCCTTTTAATGTATAATAAAATAAAAACTCGGCATTCATTAAGTTGAATGCCGAGTTGCTTTCATGTAATGAAGGTTTAATGTTTGTAAAACGATATCAAGCTAAGAACTACCTACAGTTCAATTTAGGCTGTACGAATTTCTTTCCTTTCTTTATTTCACGGTCTAAACTAAACTGCAGAGATAATTAGTTGATAAGTAAACTATTAGAGCCCCTCCCCCCTCCCCCCGTTTTAACTTCAAGTTACGTGCGTTTAGTTTTAGTTAATCATAAGATAATTAATCTCTGTGAATTCACTGTGAGCGCATTCTAAATATATTTCGTCCCTAAATATATTTCAATAAATAAGAAATCCCGTTATAAGTATTGATTTTATCGTTTCCAACATAGAACCAATTGATGAATTTGTAAAATACGAATAGAGCTCTTTCTGACATACACACACACACATATATATATAATAAAAAATGGAATAATTTTAAATACTAATCTCATGTTTTGGAATCTGGAGATACAATTAAACATTTTGCTTGTATCATTTTAGAATGAAGAAAAATTGGTGCAAAAAGTTTCAAAGCATTACACGATTTCGTTGTCTCAATTAATTGTTAAACACGCCCATAATTAAATGATACTACTAATGAGATATAAATGGAAGTAAAAGAATATCGAAGAAGAGACGCCATCGAAAGAACGCTACCGATAGATTAGAAAAAGTTACGAACCTAATGCGACGTAATATGTGTTGTTGTCACGAAATTCCACAGCTGAATGACGTCTCGTCGTTCAGTTAAGAAAGTAGTAGGGAATGGAGTGATCCTGTCCGAACAGGCACAATAATTAAGACGAACATAAACATTGTGTTCGTGTTGTTGTTTTTTTACTTCGAATTTCGAGCTTCAAGGCCTTCTACGTTTTGCTTTACTTAAGAACTGAACAATTTCATTATATTATGTAGTAAAATTATTATTTTAACTATTAAATACATACATACATACATACATACATTCTCAATAAATAATTGTTGATACAATTATTGTTAAGAATTACGCAGAATGAAGTTAAAATATCAAGAAATAATAGAATTGTATGTGTAAAAACATATAATAAAATATGTATATATATATATATATACAGTATATAACAATGAGTTAGTCAATTACAAGGTTACACTATTTCTACTAGTTAGAATTGAAATTAAATTTTAACATAAAATTATAAATAACTTTTAGCATAATGTTCTATTTAAATGTTTATATGCTATTATCTCTTTGATTGTTAAAAATCATGTGTAATAATTATTTGGTTACTTTAATCCTTTACTTCAAGGGATTAAAAATTATACACTTTTTTGGTAATCTGCCAAATCTCGACAAATTGAAGTCTAATTCAAGTTTTAATTGAAAATGTATGTTTTAATTCAAAAATTCACAACACAAACACAAAGCTAATAGCTATTGATTTAAATTTGTACCCGAGAATTTCTGGATGATTCCACTGAATGACACTTTCTTTTTTACAGATGAAATGTGCTTCCTTCCGCCATTAAAGGTCTCCCGCTTAAAAATCGATTATCGATTACGTTCGAGAATCGTAGGAAGTGTATTGCTTATTTCACCGTTGGAGCGCTGTAATCGCGTTTCACGCAAAATGATAATTTGGAATAAAAAATTAAAAAACCCTGGTCTAAGTCAAATACACAAAATTCATGAGACATTCTTAAAAAAGAAAGAAAATATTCATATATTAGATAAAAAATTGTCAATATTTTAAATTGTTATAATTTCGTGAAAAAAGTTTATAGAACAATTAACTTGATTTTATTTTAAAGAGTAGTTCGTGACTGAATACTGTCATATTCAAATAGACGTATCTAATCAAAAGGTAGTTTGTCAAACGACTTTACAAAAAGACTTCAATATTTAACAATCAAGCATCGATTTCACATACATTCGAAATATAAACTATTATATTGTTAGTTTCAATGCAATTAAAATTTTCTTATATACGTATAGATAAACTATTTTTGTGTTACTTGGCATTGATGACTTGATTTGAGCGAAAGTTGCAGATACGCCCTTTTGTTTCAATACACCAGTATAAAGTTCGTTTCATTTTTGAAACTTTTCGTATGTAGTCGTGACCCAGAGGAAATATCACTAAACAGAAACCGTTAAATCCGGTGGGAATTATCTGTAACAAATAACGATCGTGATTGAATACAAGTATGTAACAATTCTTTTAAATAATGCCCACTATTTTAAATTGTAAATATATTCGATAATAAAACAAGTCTTACCGGTAGCTTTTACTTGACAATTTCTGGATGAGCAGCTCCTTGCTACGTTCTCTGTCACGTTCCCACTTAAAACTAACGGTTTTACGTTACACATCAATACTAGATCGATTATATCGATTATATTTGAAAATCGCAATACGTAATTGCGAAATTCCACCGCTCCGTTGGCGCTGTAGTCTTCACTAATGTTAAAATCATTGCGCGCGCAGTTTTGAAAATATAAAATGCGTAAATTGGAAGAATCAAAGATCAAATTTTTTTTGCCAAGAAAGCTATTTAAGAAGATCAATTTATAATCTTGTAATTGCATTTTTACAATTAGAATTTCTAAGTTTCCTTTCTATATTCCATATGATGTATAAAATACACGTAGAAAGATTTATAAATTCTACTCAATAGATTTCGAATGATTTCATGCCAAAACTAAGAATTATAATAAATTTTACGTTTTTATACGATTAATTTGCATTCTATGTGAATATATTTCGAAGCTAACACTTTTAAATCTATTCACGTTCAATTTTTATCCATGTTTTGTATATAGCTCATGAAAAATTAAATATTTTAACAAATGCTTCTATTTATTCAGCACATAAACAATGAAACTTTGCAAACTTCGTACTTTTAATAAAATTATATTCGAACAAATTTTTATTAACTATAACAAACTGCGTAATATCGCAACAATCTATCTTTAGTTAGTGATAGTAGTTTATTAACTTAATTGTTTATTTACACATGATAAAAATACAACGATGTTTTATTTACAATTGTCTTTTATATATAAAAGATTAAAAATAGTAGTAATTAAATAATCGTAAAACTGTAGACAATTAAAAAAATTCAAATAATATGTTAAGTACAATCTTCATCGCTAGAAGAAAGTTCTTGTAAATTTTCATAACAACCAATCTTTTTCCTGATTAAGTCCCCCCATAAAACATTGGTATTACAAACAGGACAAACACCTTCAATTGGTAAAATCATATTATCTTTACAAAATAATTGTGCTAAACAAATTAAATGAGCTACTAATGAACAGCTAGGTTTTATGCAGCTAACTGCTTCTTTCTCTTCTAAAAGTGCATTACAAATAAAACAGATTATAGACAATTTATCTAGTGTTTCTACTATATCATTTGTTTTTTTAATCTTTTTGGAAATTACTCTTCCATGACATATAGGCATGTGCATTGGCGCTGAAACATAACTAGAATACTTGTCGAAAAATTCATAATCTATCCAACGAATTGTTAAAGGTAAACGACACCAAGGTCCAACTTTTAACATTTCCGACAGAACTAATAAGCAAAATTCAAACACTCTCTGCTGTGATTTCTTCTTAGGTACATGTTTCAAACGCCGACTAACATGAGGATGTTGCCAAGCCCATTCAAACTAGAAATAAAGATAAGTTCCAGATACAAAAATAATTGATTAAAATAGTACATAGTTGTTTTTTTATGAAATTGAATAAACGTACTCTAAGTGCAGCTGTACTACTTGGAAAGCCATGTATAATTAACACCATATTCCTAAAAAAAAAAACAAATTATTTTTTATTAGAAAATTATATACAATTGACACAACAAAAAGTAATGTACTTTACGGTCTTTAATAATTATTTAATTACCACGGTCCTCTATTACTTGTTTTCCATGCACCTCCATGCTTTTTTCCAGCATTATGTTTTTTAAGTCTACGACAAGGATCAACTGTATATCCTATATATGTTCTTCCTTTGTATTTTGGATTCATACAATATAACAAATATACGCCATAAAAGTGCTCTATAACTTCTGCATCTCCCATTTTTTAATTCATTAATACAATGCATTAAATTACACAACACTACATTAAATTTGAATAATAACTTTAATATATCATAATAATAATAAAAAAATAAACATAAGAATACAACAAATGTTTGATATCACATCAAAAGGAAAAAATTTAATCATCGTTTTACTAACTATTAACTCATTATTGTTCATTAATATAATTATAAATCAATATAACTGACAATATTATTGTTTAACCTAATACTTATCCCATGTAAAGAATTCGAATTAACCTAACCTAATCCAAACTTTTCAAGGTTAGGATTATACATAACGTTATGGGTTGTACATCAACGTCAAAAATAATGTTATCAAAAGAAAATAAATATAATGATTAGCAATGAAGACCTATGACATATCATGATATATTACTACACAGATTTAAAAAAGATATGTATATGTTAAAAAAATTGTTTAAGTAACACAAATAAAAATCTGTTAGTTTACAATTAACATTCTAATAATATTACAATTAATAAATAATATCTATCGATATATGTATTATTTATTTCTTTTGAAAATAAATGAATGTATTTGCAATGTGAACAAAAATTTACAATATTACAATATTTTTAGTACATTTCCTCAAATTAATACGGAGTATGTAATATTTATTACATAAATATTAAATTTTAAAAAAATTTTTTTATGTAATATTTATCGCATGAATACTAAATTTTGTAATTGATACTTACTATTTACAAATTCTTTCATTTTTAAACACTGACTTATATTTTCATTCTTTTATTTTTTCCATCTTTCAAAAAATCTAAATTACATTCATCTTATCTTACAGAAGTTGAAATTGCAATATTTCAATTGCAATATGCTAATTTTCTTTTCGTGTCAAATATCATTATTGCAAATTATTACATCTAGCTTCATCAGGAAAGATAAATTCGAATGAAAGTATTTTGACGTCATTACTGCAACAAGAATAAAATATTTTTTTTAAAAGACGCAAGCGCTGTGACACTAAATTCCACAGTTTATCAGACAAGTGTATTTTTCACTGTTATAAGTATTATTTCACGTGAGGAGAAGAAATCGCGGATGGAGATAAATAAGAGTAGACCAACAGTACCGATCGGTTTCTCCGAGAATGTAATTGAAAGCGCCGCGTATTTAGTTGCAGCACTGTCGAAATTGGGCTTTAATCTTGATTGGATGCAAACCAGAAGAGATCTGTACGTGAGGATCCAGTAAGAATGGCTGCCGTTCTGAGAAGATTCAAAGCCACACAGATCACGGTGATCGGCAATACTAAACTACCGTCATTTATTACCAGCCGGTAGGCGATCACGACTGCAATCTTGAGGAGGCCTTTTTTCATATGTTTCGTGTATAGTCTACGCGAGCTAGTATCTAAACGGCGGCTTTTTAGGGCAATAGCCACATCGTGTGTGTTGTAGATTTTTTGCAAGGTCATCGATCCGACAGGATATCAACGAAGGATGGATAAACAAGCTTTTCGTAAGAAAAATCGAGCCAACCAAAGAATCTCATTCAAGGATGCTGTCAGATAAAGGAGTTATTTACGCCTTGCACACGCACAATATTCGACCTGATTCCACTGATAAATATTTGGCCAATTAGTAAGTGAACTTTATTTATATTTTTTGTCCTTAGTGTCAAGTAATTAAATCGCAATCACATTTAGAAACATGCACAAAAATTCTTTCCAAATACATTTCTGAAGTTTCAAAAAAATATTAGATTTTGTTTATGTCGCAGAATTGGCATGCACAGAGAATTATTTATATTAGGAAAATTATATTGGGACATGTTTGTATTTTGGGATATTACAGTGAAGAAATTGTTAACATTATAAACACCAAGAAGTCTGAACTGAAATTGGAACTTGTTGGTTCGTGGACTGTCTTGGCTGGTGATATCGATCAAGCTTTACATCTGTGGCGGTATTCTGGTGGTTATGATAGCGTTGATCGCACACAAGTTGAGTTGTGTAAAGACAAAGTATGGGAATTAAAAATATATATTTATAAAATAAATATTCTACATGATATTATATAATGCTGTTTCCTTTTAGGCATATCAACAGTTATTCAAAGAGAATGGCAATTATCTGCGATCACGTTACTTACAATATTTATTGGCATTTAGTTATTGGCCTCCTCTTACAAAACGAAATGGTTCAAATATATATGAAATACGTAGTTATAGACTACAGCCTGGTACTATGATAGAATGGGGTAATAACTGGGCAAAAGCTATCAATTATAGACGTAACAACAATGAACCATTCGCTGGCTTCTTTTCACAAATTGGTAGACTATATAATGTCCATCATATTTGGTGTAGGTGTCAATGTTAATATTTTCTGTTTATTTCTCATGTATTAAATTAACAATATAAACTACATGATACATATATATATTTATTTTTTATATGTTTATGTTTAAATATACAAAGCTATATTAATTTTTAGGTTACAAAAATCTCCAAGCACGAATGGAAACTCGTGAGAGTGCATGGAGATCTCCAGGATGGGATGAATGTGTTGCATATACTGTACCATTAATCAGAGAAACATATTCTCGTATATTAAGTCCAACTAGCTTTTCGCCAACAAAATAAAATTTTATATTTACAGATCTTTGCATTTGTATAATACAATTTATTCTTTTTATTTACATAATGTAAAAATATTTGTTATATTACACATTACGTTTATAACTGTATAAAATAAGCGCTCAATATGAAATTAATTGTAGCATTTTGTTGTATTGCAATTACTAAAATGTATTTTAATAAAATTTGAACTTCTTTGTTACTCTAACACTTTATGATATATTTTTATTGTCAATTTAAATATATTTATACATTGATGAATATATTGATCGTTGTACTTTTGAAAATTTATATCTCTTTTACTAAAATTATTTCTTACTAGTTATTCATTTAAATAGTTCATAATAAAAAAGATGGGAAGGTTACAAAATACAAATAATTATCAAACATCTTTTACTTTTATTATATAATCAATATATCAAGTTTGATCAATTTGAACTGTTTAAACATATCTTTCTCTCTAGTTGTATGATTTAAAGAATATATTAATTTACATACATTACAAAATAAAAACGGAAATTATGACAAATAAAGATTAATTACAGGTCTTACTTGCATTTTATGTTTAATTTTACTATATTTTCCTGATAAAGATATTAGTAGTTATCTGTAAAGTTATTAACTTTATTAATTAAACTTTATAAATATATATATGATATAAAATAATAATTGTCATTGTAATATCAAATATTGTTGATAATTAGACTATTTTACATTAGAAAAAAATGTTTTACATGAGCACATTTTGTATTCTCCTATTCATTAATGCAATTAGTGGTTAATAAAATATTTCAGTGTTGCTTAAACTTTTATTATATTGTTTTTTAAAACAATATTGTTTTTATTTTATATAATATTTATTATATTGTTTTTTACTTCTCTTTAATGTGTCAAATGTGGAAGATAAAGATGTACGTAAAGATATCATTATGTACGTTATTTTTAAACATATTTTTTAAAAATATAAAGCCAATGAAATGAGATTATCTTATGATCTACAACGTACATTTTATTAAAAGTCATTACATTAACATTGTATGAAATATTATATAATACAAAAATTTAATTTGTTTAAATTGTTTTTAAAAATTTTTATGATTCGTGTAGCATTATTTTTATAATGCTGATACGTTTCAAAAATAGAAAAAGTAAAACATGAAATGAAATTCAAATTACATACAGCATATTTTTTTACAATAAAGAATGGCGCAACATTGGAGGACTTGAATGTTCAATGGCATTGAAAATAGAAAGAAAATATCTTCAGAACACAGAAATAAATATCAATGAAATCTTTATAAGAATATTTACAATATACAAATATATATACAAGATATTGACAAAAATATATTGCTTTATAAAAGAGAATAAAATAAGTCAAAGTAAAATTCTGTATCAGTATAAAAATTTTAACATTTAATTATTCAATGTCAAGTAATTTTTATATCAACATTCTATATCATTATATCAGACAATTTTATCTTAATTAATTGATTTTAATTTTAAAAATTAAAAATAAATTTAATATGTAAAATATTTATCAGAATAACAATTTTAGATTTTGTTCAAAAGAATATAAGTAATATTATTTAATATCTTTAAAAAAAATATAAACTGTTAAAAATGAAATAACGAGATTAAAAAATATTTTCAAATAATGTAGCTTTAAATTCCGAATTAAATGATAATCTACAAATTTCATTGCCTTGCACAAAATTTATTTTTATTTAAAAAAATTTGAAAAGATTTGAAAAAATTATTATTTATAAAATTGTCTTCATTAATCTTCATTTTAATGTTACAGTTAAATTATTAACCCAATGAACTTCAACACTTTCTCTTATCTTTTAAATAATTAAAGACATTATAATACATCAGTATCATATAATACATAATCATTTGATATAGAATGATTTTATTAAAATTAAAATTATTAAAATTTAATTTTTGATATTGTGCAAAATCTATTAAAACCTATTAAATCAATAATAACGTTTTGCAATTTGTTAGTTTTATATTATATCTATTATAATATTTCATATTAAGACTGTAATATCAATGTAAAAAGCTTAACTATATTATTGATAACTAATGATCAAATTGACTACTAATGATCAAATTATTAAAAATTATATTTGACAGTGTAATTTGATTCTTATGAATTAAAATTCTAATAAAAATCAGCATTTATATAATAATATTACAAATACATTATGCATACATTTTCAGTAAATAGAAGATGAAATAACTTTATATAATATAATATTAGAAGTTTAATTGATTATTTAGTGAAAGACAGATTGGTAATTTATCATTCCTCCACTAATATTTGTAATTTTTATTGACAATTTATACTACCAACTCTGCATACAATTTTATTTTTTTAATCACATAAAGTGTACAAATATTGCCACAAAATCTCTCCTAAATCTCCGCCTATGTGTGTTCTGAAGTGTTTTTCTATATTATGAAATTTGATCAATTCTTAAACAATGAATATATTCCTCATATTACATTATACATTTTTTCATGTTAAAAAATACCACTACTAAAAAATAAAATTATTATCTAGTTAAAGCCAAAAGTTATATATGATAGATGTTAGAATATTCACGTTTATTACTTAACAAAAGCAATATTTTTTTTATTAGTTTTATTATAATATAAAAATAATGCTTAAATCTCTTTTTTCTTTTTCAAATTGATTTGAAAAAATATACATTTTAGTACAATATTAGTAATATACTATGATAAACTAAAAAATCACACATGGATGGAAATAGGTGAGAAAGAAACTAATCAAATATTTATATTGATTACAAGTATTAATTAGTAATTGATAACTGATATGCCACGCCTATATTTGATTGGCTATCTTGTATATCACCTTTTAAATTCAAATTACCAAGTTAATAGCTTTGGAGAATTCAATAAATTCTATTATACTAAATCTTATTTTTCATAATTAAAGTTCAATTTCAAAATGTTACATATAGTAAATGAATATTTACAAAATGCTAGTAACAACAAAAAGTATTCTAAATTTAGCAATTTTTTTATAATAATAGTCACATGGCCAAAAAGTCACGTTTCTTTCTTCAATATATACATACAATCAGGCTTGTAGAGAATCCGTGTGACATTAAAAAAAGATAATTAAGAAATAATAACGTTAATATTAATAATTAAAATTTTTATAATAATTAAAATATGTGTCATATTATTTGCTTATTTTATATAAAATTTTAATTAAAATAATATGATCTATATATATATTTCTCAAAATTTCATATTAATTCAAATTCAATATTAGTTTTATAATATTATTTTAAATAAAATACAAAAAATTCTTTATTTACAATTTTATAATCATTAATTTTATTTAAAAAAAATATATATATATTAATCCTTTTATGCAATCCATAATTATATACACTTTCGACTTTTTGACAAACTATAAAATTTGAAATCATTAAAGAATAAACTTTTGTTAGTACTTTAACTTCTAATACAATTTTTAAATTATCATTAGCTACATGTAATTTTGTTATTAAATTTTTTGTTCCTATGTATATTATTATAAGTCATGGATAATTCAAAATATATAAATTTTAACTTTAAGTTCAATAAAGCATAAAATCATTTCCTTCTTGTTCACTCCCTTAATTTGGTACAATTGTTATAAATCCATATATAAATATGAAATTTTTTGAAGTTTAAATTCTCTATATTTTTCATGAATTGTAGTCCTATAAAAAAATCAAATAACAATATTTTACATACAATATAACTTTCATGTTAAAATTACAATTTGAATTTCTTTTAACTATATAAAATAGAAAAATTATTCTAAGAATAAATCTAGTAATCAAATTTATTAACATAATATTAAAGTAATTTATCTTAAATAAAATGTATTTATAACATAAATTACAATGTAAAGATATTTCTTTATAAATCTATAATAATAATTTTATGAAAAGATATATGGATTGCCTATGGACTAGGATTGAAATGTTATGACTTATTTTATTTACTCGGATATATAACACGGATGTCTCTATTAGTCTGAATTATTTATTACCAATTATATCAATTCATTAAAAGACTCTACTGTATTCATGTATTCTCCTAAGAGTAGTTAAAAGAAAAATTTATACGAGATACTAGTATGTAATGCTACATGCTTTGTAATGCTCTTGCAATTAATGCTACATTTTTTCTAATGTATAACGTGTGTATATATTTACATATTGTATTATTATAAAAAAATGATCCAGTTGATTGTGACTATTTTCATTTTAAATATTTTGAACACATAAATATATAAATGTTTTTCTTATATTTATTTTGATCATTTTTATTATTATAATTGAACACATTCTTAATTTTTGTAATATATTCTATTTATGTATCCTGGAAGTTTTCTTTTTAAAATAATTGTTATTAATAAATAACATTTTTAATATTGATAAAATATATTAGACAAATATTATTTATCATTTACATTAAACTTTTAATATTGCAAAATATTCTTTAGAAAACAATATAATTGAAAGTATTCACTATTTTAGAATTAAAGTTTTTTATTAATTCAGAATTATTTTTACTCAGAAGAAATATTTTATTATAAAAATAGCTCAAGTTATGTAATATATAAATTGATATATATATATGTAAGTTTTTATTATATTGAAATATTGAATAGGTAACTCAACATGTTATATGTTATACAATTATTATTAAAATAAACATAATTACTAATGAAAATATTATTATTTTCGTTATTTACATTATAGGGAAGATATCATTAATAGTATTTATAATCAATTAAATATTATTAAATAGAATAGTCACAATCATCCGAACTCGGAGTCAATATTTTGCGAAAATGAAGATACATATATGCATATATATAAAACAGAAAAAGTACATGGAAATGTATTAAACGGAAAAAAGAAAAAAAATTAGATGCTACAATATAAAGTACAATATTGGGATGTGTACTGGATGAAAATTTTGGACAATTACAACAAAATATAATATAATATAACTGAAATGTTAATAATAGAAGCAACAATAATACTATTATAATCACCAATGAAAGAAGTTTTTATTGAAAACTGGAAAATTAATATAAAAAATTTGTGATGCTAAAAGTAACATACAAGCTAAAATAATATTTGAAAATTCATTTTGGCAAGAAAA